GAGAAATCGGTACGAAACTTGGAACTCGGCTGAACTTGCTGACTGCGAGCATGATGGACCAATGTCTAACCACGATAAACCAACGCCTCCCTCTAATATGCAAACGGCGCGTTTTTAAAAGGCCTATTGAAGGTCGAATTATTAGAGCACAGTCAAAGTGACAAACCTGTCTAGTGATCCCAGGCCGGGTGAATGTTGTTTCGCTGTTTTGTCAATGCTTGCCCCTATATTCAAATCGCTAAGGAAATCTGACGGAGAAACATGGAACAATTAATATGATCTTGCTTTCTAAGATTTGCATGGGTATATAATCTTACATGAGCTACGCATGCACATAGAGGGCAAGTTAGGGGTGTGTGAAGCTCATATACAAAGTACCGCATCATAATGAAATGATCCATTAGAAAAACTGTCGATCGAAATCGAGGAACTTGTTAGGAAGCAAAAAGCATAAACTGTGGTACCGTGTTTGTCACAATTCTCGAGACGGAATATAGTCGATAATTCAGATAATTCAAAATTTATTTTCAACATGATCGGCAACGTACTTATCTCTTTGTGAATCACCCTTTTCTTTATTTATATTTTGGATATTGCCAATAGTTAGCATACAACGGGGTAAAAGTTATTATTTATATTACATTAATATTATATAATACAGTGGCCGTTCACAGGGTAAGTGTGAGGGGACGTCAGTTTGTGGAAAATGGTAAACAGACACGACTACACACTCATCACGATTAGTGTAATTATATAAGCTCAGTATCTCGGCTCATAGGCGATGCCAATAGTACGAGACATTATGTAGGACAAATCAAAAAGAGAACAAACAGAGGGAAACGTCCTTGCGCAGTTTTCGGAAAATATAGGTGTTTTGAATGTGATTTGAAGAATTTTAGGGAAGAAAACCTGTCAACTATGGGAGAAAAGTGAAGAGATAGGATCGTTGGGCTGATAATGAGGTGGTGTAAGGCGGAATAGGGGAGCTCACAAGAAATATCGTAAATAGGCCTATGGTAACATCGAGGAGGAGACCACAGAGGCCTCGAGATCCCCGAAATGCCAACGATGCGATGCGCTTGCCGATTGCTGAGTATGCCGATGGGGTGGCAAAAACAGGATAACCCGCCACGATTGTCAACTATTTTTTGACGGTCGAGGTAACTGAGATTCATCCATTGGAGATTAATTTGATGCAGAAAATTATTTCATAAATAAATGTTACTCAAAGACAGAGAAATCTCGTTTGACAAGGTATAGGATATGGTATGTATTAAGAACAGAGGGCAGTTTATACGCAGGACGAATGTAATGTATGCAAAGCAGAGTGCTGTCCGTAAGCAGGACTGTAGTTGGGAAGAGTGCACAGTTCAAGTGAGGAGTCACGTCAAAAAACATGGATTTTCGGCGGGGATTAAGCGTCCGAGGTTGAAGGGTTGTCATTTAAAGCAAAAAGAGGGGTGAACCCGCTGGCCGTGGGTGAAGGCTTGTAGCGGCTCGTGCCTGGCTGACTAGCTCGCGTCGAAGTGCACTTTCCCAAACGCTCACCGATGTGCCTTCTCGAAGTCTCGATCAGCCAATCATAGTTCTCGCATCTATGAGGCGACGAATGAGAAGCTTGCAAGCGTGCTCGACGCAAGTTGCCTCTCTGCCCAAAATCTCCAGGCCGACCTAGC